TTATATTTATATATATAAAGCGCCTATCACCATATTGATAAACAATCTTTGGAACCACTGTGACGGCAGAAGTAAGAACAGGAGTCAGCCTGTTGGTACCTCAGCACTTCTGTTTCCAACCAATTTAAAAAACAAAAACAAAAAAAAAAGCCACAAGACTTTGCTGCCAGCCTGCCTGGCTGGTGTTTAATACTGCTACTCCATCAGGGTTGGAGGGAGACCTATTGTGAATGGCAACAGTTTGCACTGCGGCTTCTCTGACTGCAGACAGCGCAGGTGTCGCAGGAGGGCAGTGGGACGCGAAGGCTCGGACCCGTTACCAGTCAAAGCGTCTCAGCAGCAGGGAGCTCCGGTTGGGAGAGAGTGAGGTAACTCTGCGCGCAAAGCCCTCGCTCCCTGGGCTTAAGGCTGAGTCAGTGACCCTTCTGGACTCTTCCCAGGTTTCACCGGACAGAAATAGGTGTCAGTTATAAATATATCACGTCAGTTGCAGTGGGTAGAGGGGGGCGCAGGAAGGGGAGAATTTAGACTGGGTGCAGGGAGGAGAGAAAGGAAAAAGACATCTTACGTTTCCAGCACTGGAAAGAACAGTTTTGACCTCACACAATAAGTCACTGGACCTTTTCAATAGGCTTATCTGGCTTATGCCCCATCATCTTTAACACAGCATCAAAGGGAATGTTGGCTGGCAAAAGGTTAAACGATCCCACACAGTGGAGAGCAAATCTGCAGTCTGCTGGGAAGGTCCCCACCACATCACTGATGATCTCGGGGTCCAACTCGAAGGAAGGAAGCAGCTTCTCTGTCTCACACATCACTCAGGGCCTGGAGACAGCCAAAGACAAACAAGCGTCAGCATGGACCCACTGCAGCTCTACAAGTCAAGTATCGCCCTGAAACACAACCATGGCATTTGCCTTCAACCCTAGGACACTCTGAGGAGGTTTTTTCTAGATCCTGCAGTTGCAACCCAATTAGGAGATGACGGAGTGATGCAGAAATACAGACTTGCCCTTCAAGAAGGCAGACTACGCTAGAGCATCCTTTCTTTACCTGCTGGTTTGCCCTAGAAACCACAACCACATTTTATCTAAGGCTTTTGGAGCTTTCCAACAGGAAACACCAGTTCTGCAGGCTCTCGGACTTAGTTTTGGTACGGGAAGTGATCTGCCATCAAGGCATGGGACATCAACCCAAAGAACAGCTCCAAACTGAACTCCAGACTTCCCAGACTGACTCATACCCTGCTGTCACACAAAATGCCGTCCTGCTCTGACTTGCCCACAGAAGCCTTTAGCGCTGCAGGAAATCCTCAGTCGAGTGTGCTCCCACTCTGGCCCAAAAGTCCTACACTTTGTCCTCCACGGAGCAGTAGCAGCACAACTTTCCTTACCTTCCGTGCAAACTCTGGCAGAATGAAAGCTGCCCGATGAATGTCAGAGTTGTAGTATTTCAGACTCCTCTCCTCTACTTGTTGCTGTGAGAGCTGCTGCACAGGCTCCCGGAAATTCGTGTTCTGCAATAAAGAAGGCAGGTAGCTCTGTAACACCTGGGTAAGGAGCCAAAGGCTGTGTGAGAGGCATCCCTGACTCGTGGCAGAGAACCAAGAGGACTCGCAGGAAAACAGATGACTTTCTGTTCCAGCACGAGGCCAAAGGCTCCGCACAGCCCCGTCCCTCGTGTGACTGGCCCTCACTCACAGATGTGAGTGCATGAGGTCAGACTGCGCGCGAGCCACGTGCCAGATGAAGCTGTCGCATTGTGCCTCAGCATCTCAGAAGCAAAGCTTTTGCTCCTCAGAGCAGGAGCCGCATCTGCGTTAAGTCGGGCACAGCGCGTGCTGCCAGTGCCCCAGATAAATCAAGCACAGCAGCAGAAGAGCCGCTGGTTCCCTAAACCAATGCGACACTACAGCCTTGCTGTAATGCAGCAGACTGGGAAGAGAGCAGACCTCAGTGGTCTGACAGAGTTACCAGCTCACATCCTAACACTGACTCTCACTTGGAGGCCTCTGTATGAGCAGATTACCAGTCACAAGCTGATTCTTATCAAGCTAAAGCCTTAGCAGGCTCAGGAAATTGGTAGTGGCTTCCTCCCTTCCAAATTTCTTGTACTAGAGAGAAAACCATGTCATTTTCTAAGGCAAATGGTTAAATTTCTGGTCAATTCTGCACTGAGCAAGCTGCACTGCAGCTCTGGGGCCCTGGGCTGGCAGAGTTGGGGCCCAGCACAAGTCTGGAGGCCCCGGATTTGGGAGAGCCCAGCACCACAGCTCAGGCTCTGCAAGGGACAGCCTGAGGCAGGCTCTGCGGGCTCTTTCAAGGAGTGGGAAAGGGCACTTCAGGTGCCTGACACTCACCGGGTTCTTGCTGCAGAGCATGAAGCCAATCTGCCCGCTGGGATATGTGGGGATGGTGCAATAGGCGTATTCCACAACGGGGAACAGAGACTTGCAGAACTGACGCATCTCCTTAATGAGATCCAGGTGCAGCCACTGGCACTCACCTACAGGGAGAAAGGAAGACAGGATGCAAGGTGAGTGCTGCCTCTCTTCTCTGCACAGGCCTGTGCAGGGTTAATGGTGCTTCCAAGTCCAAACCTGCTCTACTCTGCACAGCTCGTGTGGTTGTGACAAGGCAAGACCCTCACGCCAGTGTTATTAAGCACAGTCCAGCAGTTAACAAGTTGACGTACACAGATCAAAACCGATCCTGTACCTGGGAGCTGGAATGGGTTTCACTCCCTCCGTCACATCTCCCCAAGAAGAAAGTCCCCTTTGTGCCTCACGCTTTGCATGCAGTGATCTGGCATCATCCTCTGACCAGAGACAGCGTCAGCATCCTCACCTTGACAGCACAGAATCCCATCTTCTCGCAGTGCTGTCTTCATCAGCTGGTAGTAAGATTCTTTGAATAAGCTTTCTGCAGGACCTGGGAATGAAGTGAGTAAAGAGATATGTCTAGAGAGAGCCAAGACAGTAGGCTTCTGAGTTTTTTGAATGCCCAGGCTGCACAGGGACTGCACTGGAAAAACAGACATTTCAAATATCAAGTGTTGGAGATAATCTGGAAGCAAGAAGTTTTGACCCTGGGAACCCAGCCTGCACCTAGCACAGCAGAACCATCAGGATTTTAGCTTTGCTTAACAGCAAGCCCAAGACTTTTATCAAATAAAGTCCCAGCAGCTGCCTCTTGCTTCAGTGAGCATTTTTTGAACTGAACTCCTGCTCCAAACTGCCTTTCAGAGATGTCTCTCTCTGTGTTGACTACAGCAAGGTGGCTCAGGCACTTGTTAGATCACTAAAACGAGGCACCATAACTACATTTTGTTCCTCTCTACTTCAATTTTCTGCTTCAGAAATACAGCAACCTCACTACAGCCATCTTTAGCCCAGGTAGCTACACCAACAGTGCATGAACCTCTGCTTCGTTAGCGGGCACACGTGCAAAGCTGTCTTTGCCAACATGGTGCTGTATGCCCCGTGGGACTGCTGGACTCAAGGATCAACTCTCTGCCAGAAGCAAGAGCTGCTGGAGTTGAATTTTGAGGCGATAAATGTGACAACTGGGTCAAAGCCTTACTAATACAGTTTCCTGGTATTAGTTTTCCCCTTTCTCTACCAAAAGAACCAAGTCGGTAACAGTCTTTTCACTTGAAAGGGGCCTAGGCAGGCTGGCATTACTTCCAGGAGGGAGGCAGAAGAGAAAAGTAGGTGGAGTGTGGAAAGCAGCACCCTTTTATGGCCGGAATTCTTACCCATGGGGTCAGATGAGTCCGTGATAATCACATCAAAGGCTTCTTGATTTTGTTTCATGAACTCAAAACCATCTCCCACATGCAAGGTCAGCTTAGCGCTGGAATAGCCCACTGCCATCCCTGGGAGGTATTTCTTAGATACCTGGATCACATCCTGCAACACAGAGCACAAGTGGATCAGCAGGGCTGCAAGGAGCTACTTCTCAGGCTCCTGTGCAGCTGCAGCTGAAAGAACAGCACAGTGAGTCACTTCCTTCCATGCCTTCAGCACAAATCCGACTCCCAGTGAGACCCTCAAGAGCTATCGGCATCTTCAGCCAACGAGCTACACTCAGCCCTTTCCTACGGCCTCAGGGTTCAGTGACACTGTTGGTCTGTCCTTGCCAAACTCAACAAGAAGAGTGTGGAGCTTCAAAAGCTCCTGGAGGAACTAAGAGAATACAATTACAGATCTGAGTGCTCTGTGCTCCTCCCCGCAGACATCACTCGCAGAGGTGAACTCAGCTAAAGACTTTTATTTTTTTGTCTTCCTAAATAAAACCATGCCAGCAGGTTTCTGGATGCAAGATGAGAAAGATCCCCACCTCTGCTCTGTACTCATTATATCCATCCCCTCGTAAGACAGTTTTCTCTCTAAAACAGCCACAGTGGTTAGACAGCCCCTGCCCTAGGCCCAGCACTTGTACTGAGCACTACCAGCTTCTCACAGCTGGCAGGAACAAAAAAATACGCTGGTGTCAGGCAGCGCTTGTTCAAAACCAAGCACATGGGCCTACTTAGCTTGGCAGACAGGATACAGCCTCATGCAGCTGCATTTCCCATTCCTAACACAGCCTTGCTTTGAGAAAACAGCAAAACTTTCTAAGAAAGCAAACCAGCAGAACAAACTGAGAGGAGGACCAGCCCATCTATCACGGAAACAAATCCCTCCTGCTTATTTCCTGCTTTCAGTTGCAAGGACTGCTTAACAAAGCCACCATGCTCCTCTGGCAGGAGCAGCACTCCGTTCTGCATTAGGGGAGAGGGAAAAGCAGCACCCTGACAGAGCCAGAGCTCTCCTTCTCCAGATCCCACGCCTGGCCCACGCTGGCTTGGAAGGGCCTCTACCGTACGTATGTGAAAGAAATCACATGAAAGAGGCAGCCAGCTGCCACGTAGATGACTCGTAAGGCAAAGAGGTGGCGCTGTCAGTGTCACGCCAGCAGAACCGGCAGCAAACGCACTCGCTACTGACAAGGGACAGCAGGTGAAGCAGCAGCTCCCGGGGATGCTGAGAAGTTGGGCTGCTTTTGGCTGGGCAGCCCACCCATCTGACCGAAGCCCCGGGGCACCTCCACGCGGCGGGGAGCCCAACGCACCTCATCGATTTCGCACTGCACCACGGACTCCACGGTCGGGTGTTTCACCACCTCTCGCAGCACTCCCCCGTCACCACCACCGATGATCAGCACCTGGGAGAGGAGAGGGCGGAAAACCAACCATCAGCGGGGGCAGCTCACGGGGGAACTTTCGCGGCACGGCCTAAGGAGGACGGCTTGAAACCCAGCAGCCCTCCGGGCTGGCCCTGCCCGGCGCTTGGAGCTGTGCTCGGG